ACTCCACTGGTGGTGGAACTGCCATCTTTATAAAAAAAAATATTGATTTTAGTGTGTTAAGTATTTGTTCAGATTTTAATGTAGAAAAATGTTTAGAATGTTGTTGTATTCGGTTGACATATTTTAATTTAAATTTTTTAACTGTTTATCGCTGTCCATCAGGTAATTGTGACACCTTTTTGACATCCTTGGATGGGATGTTATCTCGCTTGGGCACGAACAGGCGAACTGTTTTAGCAGGCGACTTCAACATAGCACTTGGCAGTGAACATACCAACTACCTACAAATGCGAAATGTACTGGAGAGTTTCAACATGAAACAAACAGTTTTTGAAGCAACAAGAGGTGAAAACTGTCTTGACAATATTTTTCTAGATCAAGATACAGAGGTTAGATTGGCTGAGGTTTTTGACCTGGGTTTTTCTGATCACCGAGGTCAGCGGGTTGATTTCATAGCAGAAACGAAGAGACAGCCTTACATAGAAAACATAACAATGTCTAGACCTATAACACAAAGGGGTAAGTTTCAGTTCCACAATAAAATAAATGAGGCAGATTGGGATTTTATAAATGGGACTAATATGAATGTTGATGATAAATTCGCTGATTTCATGAATATACTTGAGAAAGCTTACTTGGACTCTTTTCCAGAAAAAGTCTATAAAGCTAAATCAAATAACCCACAAAAAATAAATTGGTTTAGTGAGGAATTGAAAACAATGCGTGAACAGTTGTGTTTTTTGCATGACCTCAGTATACAATATCAAAGTGAAGAAATTTCTCAAATGTATATAGAACTTAGGAGAAGATACAAAGCCGAAATACGGACAGCAAAGCTTCAATCTAACAATAATTACATTCAGACATCTGGTAATCCGTCACGTGCTGTCTGGGAGATTATAAATTGCAAACGGGGTATTACAAAAAATAAGAAAAGTTCTGAAAATCATACAATCTCTCCAGATAACTTTAATCAGTATTTTGCAGAAATTGCAAATAATCTAGTAAAAGATATTCCACCAATCAACTTACGTCTTCCTGATATGAAGTTGACCACCACAGGAAATAACTTTTCTTTTTCTCCAGTAACTTTCAACCAAGTTAGAGACGTCATCAGTAACTTGAAAAATAAAAATAGCCGTGACCTTTATGGACTGAATGTAAAACTAATTAAATCTGTAAAAAATATTATAATAAGCCCTCTTACTAAACTGATAAACTTATGCTTTCAAGAAAATACATTCCCTCAAGTTCTTAAAAGAGCTGTTGTAACCCCCATTTTTAAAAAAGGTAACTCTCAACTACCTGAAAACTATAGACCAATTTCACTACTGCCAATAATTTCAAAGGTAGTTGAAAGATGTATGTCTCTACAAGTGGTTGATTTCTTCGAAAATAATAACTACTTTTCGAAAAGCCAATTTGGCTTTAGGGAAGGCAAGAATACAGTGCTGGCCATCCTGGACCTGGTCTCATATATAATAGATTCATTTCATAATCTTGAGTTCACCTCAGTCTTGCTATGTGACCTTAACAAGGCCTTTGACTGTGTCGACCACAGCATCCTCTTGCAAAAATTTAAAAACTATAACTTCTGCCCAGAAAGTATCAACTTAATTCAATCCTATCTTACAGGCAGAGTGCAGGTAGTGAGAATCTCTGGGGTGGACTCATCGGAACGAGTAATGAACATCGGTGTCCCGCAGGGGTCAGTGCTGGGTCCGATACTGTTTCTAGTGTATATTAATGATCTACCAGCCATTGACAACAAAGCCAAGTACACACTATTCGCTGACGATACAACACTGTCTTTCTCTGCGGGCGCTCTTGATAGGGCTTTGGAGGTTTCCAGGGAGGCACGGGAAGGAGCCGAGGAGTGGTTTAGAATGAATAAACTGCTGCTTAATACTGGAAAAATACAACAAATTGTATTCTCAATGAGAGATAATGGGGACATAAATCAGACAGGCAGTGTTGGATTTCTAGGAGTTCAGCTTGATCCAAAACTACAGTGGGGACCCCACATCAATGAGCTATGCAGTAAGCTAAGTAGAGGCATCTTCGTTCTGCGAAACCTCAAAAACTGTGTCACTCAAGACATAATGCGAATAGCATACTTCTCTATCTTTCACTCGCATCTTTCTTATGCTACTCTTGTGTGGGGCCATGCTGCTGACACCAGTCGAGCCTTTAGTCTACAGCGGAGGGCAGTAAGAATCCTAGCTGGACTTCGTTTCAGAGATGAGTGTAAACATGCTTTTAAGACACTCGGAATTCTAACTTTGCCATCTCAGTACATTCTTGAGAATCTCTTGTATATTAAACAAAGACTGGATTCCTTTGAGTGCCACAAAGACAAGCATGACTACAATACTAGATATAAAGATAACCTCGTTCCTGCCTATTGGAGGTTAAAGAGGTGTCACACTGGACCTGGTTACTGGGCAATAAAATTTTTTAATGTGTTACCTGATGACATAAAAATCTTAGATTATAAAAATTTTAAAAATAGGATTAAGGAAATTTTAATAAGTAATGCCTTTTACAATTTTGAAGAATTTATTTCTCAAGTTTTTTAACTAGTGTCTGTTTTGTATATTAGATTGTAGGATTACTATATATTCATGTAAACATTGTATTTTGCCTGTCTTAATGTATCATTTTACTACTTTGTCGACGATTGTAAACATACTGAATATGTAAAAACATGAATAAAGATTTGGATTTGGATTTGAAAAAAAAAATTGATAAGTTATCCGCCGAGTATTAGATGTCTTAGTTAAACGTTAAAGCAAAGTTTACAAATTTTTTTGATTTTGATTGACCGGGCTATCCTGCATAATACCTTAGGGGGAAAAGTGCAGTAGGTATAGCTCGATTACAAATAATACTGTATTGTCAGTGTAATTTTCCAATTAAAAATTTCCTTCAGAAAATTTTATTCAAAATTCACTATTTCAATGTTAAATAAACGGTTTTGAATTTAAAAAAAATATTTTTGGTGGCCGGGCTATACCTACTGCAAATTTATTTAGGGGGTGAAGAGCAGTATAGGTTGGTTACAAAATAAACAGTATTTCACTTATGCAGACTACTAGCACCAAGACTAGCCCTATACGGACGGGTTAGTAAGGGTTAGTTTGGGTTATTCTGCATTTTCTTAATAAAATAAAAAAACTCTTTAGGTGACGGGGCTATACTGCATATTTATTTAGGGGAAAAAGTGCATTATAGCTCGGTTGCAAATAAACAGTATTTTCAGTACAATTTTCATTTGTAACTTTTCAATTGAAGATTTCCGCTGAAACATTCACTTCAAAATGCTTTATTTGAACGTTAAACAAACGATTCTTATTCAAAAAAATACTAAGTATTTCAGGTGACCGGACTATACCTACTGCATATTTATTTAGGGGATAAAGTGCAGTATAGGTCGGTTACAAAAAAAACAGTATTTTCAGTATAATTTTAATTTGTAATTTTTAAATTAAAGATTTCCGCTGGAAAATTTTCTTGAAAATGCACTATTTGAACGGTAAACAAACGATTCCTTTTAAAAAAAAATACCATTTTAGGTGACCGGGCTATACTGCATATTTACCCTATTGGTATGCTGGTAGGCAAATAACATTTTGACAGGTTTGACGTTTGGAGAAAAAGTTCATTTTTATTTTATTTATAGGTATTTTATTATTGGCCGTTTGCACCAACCATTAAAAAAGATAGATAAATAAAAAGTGAAATGAGGATCTGGGAAAGAAGCAAAGAAAAACAAGAGAAATATAAAAGAGCTGTAAAGAAAACAGATGAGAAATAGAGGAGAACCTCGAGGAGAACATTGAAAAACGCCCAAGGATAACAACCAAAAAAGTGAGTGATTTCTCAATTTTTGTTTATTCTCAGCTCTTGAATTGTATGAAGATTAAAAATTTGAGAATTTGGATTAAAAATAATATGTCTAGTACTCAAGTGTATACTTTTCCATCAATGTTTTTTAATTTTTTTTTTTTTTAATTTTCCTGCTCAAGCTGGAAAATTTTGATTTTTGATAATAATTTAATATTATTTGTAATTAATTAGTTGTTGGTAGGAAAAAATATGCATAAATAATTGAGTGTAATTTTAATTTACTTAGGTACTATTGTCTATAACAATACACAAAAATAAAAAAACAAGTACAGACAATGGTGTGGTAATTATAATGTTTAAATAAATAGGTTCACTTTGTAATTTTGTTTTGCACTACAGCTTTATTTATTATTTCTAAATAAAGCCCTTATCTACTTTTGAAAAATACTGAGGGACAATTTGAAGATATTCTATTACTTTATTATCAATAATAGAGAGTTATTGGACGTGCAATAAGGACAAGCAGTATTTAAATTAGCCTTATTTTGACATCTACGCATGCGCATTTGGGTCCGAAAATAAATAATTCCCTTAATAAGGTTACTGCTTGTCTTTATTTATGTATGGTTAGTGCGAGGCAGTAAACTTCCCTTATTTCAAATTTCTGACATTTTGGACGAGTTTGACGTTTCGCTTTTCGATGATGACGTAATTTTAATTAATTTTTTTTTTTTTTTACAATAGTTTTCCATTTTACAGTGGGTAACATAAAAAATGGGTATCAGCAGAAAATCACAAACAAAAATAAACACTTTTTGAGGCTGAAATTTATAAACATAGCTATCAGCTGTCAAAATTATGAATACAACATAAGGTAATACTCTAGCACCTACTACTGTCTTCCAATAACTGTTTTTTTCTTGGAAAAATAGTGCTGATGCACTAATAAAATAACGTAGATCCTCAATACTGCGAGGCAGTATTTATTAGTTCCAATAACTCTCTATTATTAGGCTCCACTTTTCCCTTTAAAAATTTACTAACAATTTAAATCATGTTTATATTAAAACTCGTATTAAAATTAGAATAACAGCTTGATGACCTTATAAAGAGTTCAATAGGAATAGGTATATTAAAAAAATCCTACCTACCTTTTATTTTTTGGTAATTCTATATCCAATAACACTTCAATAATAATGTAACATTATCACTATCCAAATTAAGTAGTTCATTTTAAATAAACATCTATAAATTTAATTCAAAAGAAAACATAATTAATTCTACCGACATTCTATTTTTATTTCCGATTTTGTGCGACAATAAACAAATGTGCCGCCTCTTTTTCGAAAATTTGCTCATACACAAAAAGTACGACCCTTCTTTATTGAGTGCTGGCAGCTAACTGCTAATTTGCACAGTCCAACACAACACAGTGCTGATTATCAGCTGACTCTGACAACTCAAATTGTCATAAAATATAGAGTATTTGGCAACAGTGTAATTTTAATCACGATTTATGACGTCCCTAAAGATGCTCATCTGAGGCGAAATTTTTCAAGTGAAAAACTACTTTGGCCGGAGTCTCATGTATCCGTTTTCCGACGAAAGATGTCGGATATTCTATTTTGACATATTTTTATACGATTATATCAGAATAGAAGTTTTTTCGGACATCTTTCGTCGGAAAACGAATGCATATGAGATAAGCGATATAATTTTATGAAATTTTCGTCCCGCAAGAGAGATAAAGAATTGTAACGAGAAAGAAAAAGGAAAAGAATCTTGGGAGAGAATAAATTAATGAATTACTTAATTCTTGATTTGACTACAAAGGACCCCGCACACCTCTTATGGGGTTTTGGGATTCGGTCAATTTACCTGAAAATTTGATATGATATGACTATGTTCCTCTCAACATTCTGATTAAATGTGTTCATAGCCACAACTTGATCCTATGACTAGTTTTCGAGATACCAGTAGTTTAATGTCCAAAAAATGCACACATTTTATATGCATTTACAATTTACATCTACCTGTTAATCCTGGTTTATTATTAGGTAACGGGTAGATCTAAATGCATATGTGTGCATTTCTTGGACATTAAACTACCTGTATCTCGAAAACTAGTCATAGAATCAAGTAGTGGCTATGAACACTTTTAACCAGAATTTTGAGAGGAGCATCATATCAAATTTTCAGAAAAATTGACCAAATCCCAAAATCCCATAAGAAGTGTGCGGGGTCCTTTTTCAAATTTCATATTTACGTGATGTCATTACAGATGCTCATGTCGCTAGACTCGTTTGATCAGCGACCCTTGACCAACAACGACACATTAAAAGCTTAATTCTCACTTACACGAAATCACAGAACATATCACCTCTAGAAAAGTATCTGCAATGTTATGTACCGGTTATGAATTACAGCGCCATCGTTGACTGAAAATCCAACTAATCGAGCATTCTTGACAAAAAGGCGAATTGATTTTTTTCATATATTTTTATTATTTTTAAATAATTTCTGATGTTCAACTGCTTGGCTTGATACCGATTTAAAAATTCGAAATTTGACTTTTAAAATGACAAAACCAACCAACACAAATCACTGTCCACACCACAGATACCTGTAAATTTCTCTTATCTCCCGACAGTGTCGCCATTGTTGACTAAAAACCTAACTAAAAACCTTCGTCGCGATTCTCCCATTTGAGATATTTTTCTATAGGTGATATGTTCTGTGCACAAAATTTTTTGACATGCTTCGACCGACAATTTGACGTTTGATACACGCATATAACGTCAAATTGTCGAAGCAATGTCAAAAAAAGTATATTCTATGAATGTTCTAGGAAAGTCAAGATTTTTTAGACATAAAATGAATGTTCAAGGAATATTTCTGCAGGAGGTTCAGTCTTATGCACGGAGTTTGTAAAAAAAAATTTAATAGATGTGTATTTTTGAAATTATAATGATAAAAATAGCGCAAATTAAACTCGATATATTTTTGGTTCAATTTATCAAACAAACATTCCTGGTATATCCTAAGGAAATCCAAAAAATATTGCCTGAATGTATACAGAACATACGAAGATATTCGGTGAATGTTCAATAAAATGTTCACAGAACATTCAAAATGCTGACAAAGGCTTTTCCCTGAATGTTCCTGGAATGTCTTAGAACATTCGGAGACATTCATGGAATGTTCCTTATGTCCAAAATGTATGTTCTACGAATTTACATGGAATGTTATGTGCTATTAGGGTTATTTCTCTTCTTTCATTTTTAACATGTACAGTTGCGGCCATTGGAATTGGCACAAATTTTCGAACGCACCTTGTAATGCATCAAAATTTGACTTTTTTTAACAGGCCGTTAACACCCGTTAATGCCAAAATTGTATCAGTTTTTAGCCTTATATTTGGCGTTCAAAAATTAGTGCCAGTTCCAATGGCCGCAACTATGTCTTTTTTTATACCTACATGTACATGTCTTTTTTCAATACCGTTCATTAGAGAAAGATGGAAATCAACCAGCTGCTGAACGGATTAACCGAAACTGAAATACTAGAGATGGGCACGGGCACTATCGGTTAAAAAGACTGTTGTCGCTTATTCAATATATTTTAAAGTTATGGAAACAAGAGAAAAGTCTACGTGTTTATTTTTTCACTTTCACCGGTTATTAGGTATAAAACCCGGTTATTCAGTTATAACTGGAGGCAAAAAACAACTGGTATTAACCGGTTAACCGAAGAGAAAACACCGGTTTTTCGGTTTTAACTACCGGTTATTGACATCCCTAGTTACGAGTTGAATTGATGATATTAGTTAGGTTAGAATCGCAAATTGGCGCGGGTTCCTAGTTCAAAAATTAATACATTGATGTCTTATGGGGACTCAATTTTAAAAGCGTCTGTAGTCGTGGTAGAACGTTTGTTACGGAATTGAGTTGTATAAATAGTTTTTTTAATATGTTAATTAACTGAGAGAGTGATTGAAAGTTGAATAAATAAATATTACCAATTTAAGAAGCCGATGTTTGTATAAAATACGTATGTCGTTGCTTGATTCATAAGTATATATGAGTACCTAATTATAATAAAATAAAAGTTCACCTACATACTTGGTTAGTAAATGTACTTCAATAATCCAAAAAAATTGAAAAATAAATGACTGAACTAGTGATAAATAAATAAATAAACAATTCACCAACAATCATAACACAACACACAACCTCACTTTCTCTCAGCTGGTTTTAGACTCGACGTACGTCCACCGAAAACAGACACTTTTAATTAAAATCATTTGTATTTTTAATTCATAGGTCTAAAAAAACAATTAGAGCATGAATTATAGAGAAATATGTTCAAAGTTTGATGTACAATAGGTTCCAATACTAAGAAATGCCCAGAACCCAAGATATTCCCGTCTGAAAATCACTCTTTTGAATCCCCCATAAGAAATACATTGCTGTCAAATTTGTTGAAATGTGTTTAGGAACCCATTTTAAATTTCGCGCCCGATTTTTCTTAACCTAACTAATATGGTCAATTTAATTAGAATTATTATATAAATCGTATTCGATTCACAATCGCAATGCAGTTCAGGTTGGTTCAGATCGATCCTGAACGGGAAAAATGGTGACATGTCAGTTGTAGTAGTATTGTCTTTGGTTTGGTGTACAGTGACTTTATAACCGACAGTGGCGACAATTGCTGTCTCATTTTTGATTGGTTCTAAAATCGCATATATTTATATTGAAAACACCGCCATCTTGTTCCCATGCCCTTGTTACTTTCAAATATGAATATATGGGATTTAGGTGAACATTCATCATAAATCATGGAAAACAACGTATTTGATGGACCTAATACTGGTCATCAAATACGTCGATTTCAATTTTTTATGATAGATGTCCATTTAAATCCTATATATTAATATTTAAAAGTAACAAGAGGTTGGGAACAAGATGGCGACGGGACCTCTATTGTCGCCACTGTATGTAAAGGTTTATTTAGCCACTGTAGTTTGGTGTAGGAAGCTCTCTCGTCATTTTTTAAATATTTGATATAACTGTACCGCCAATATTTTTAGTTCACTTCTTGTGATCTAGAGTGGAGCCAATAAGAATGATACACACCTGCAGGATTGCTTATCGGCCTCGTTTTTGGTAATCGCCGCCATATTTGGTGTGTCACCGTTTTCGACGTCATAACTAAAGGAGCGCGCCCACTGGAGTGCGTTCACAGTCGAACGCCGGACGCTCACCGAGTGCACACCGAGCGCGTCTTTTGCAGGGTTAAGTCGTTCACGGATCTACTTAATTCACCCGGTTAAAATATTTGCTCCGTTCACAGAGCCATGATAAGTTTACCTGGTTGTACAACTTTTTAACCCACTCTGAGACATGGGTAAAATTTGTCGCGCAGGCGTTTTACAAGCATATTTGAAATTTTATAAACAATACTGTTGGTAATCTTTCTGGGCCATACATTGCTGATTTTCTCTGGAAACTCCAAAATTTTCCTGAAACTCCTTATTGCTATAATTGCGTATTGTTGTCATAAAATTATCCTGTCTTTCAATATGCCTTTTTTCAGGCTTGAACTTAAACTGTTAGCGCTAGCACATGCAGCTTGTGCTACAGCATAGCTGACTTCTTCCTCTGTATCAGGCGAATCCGAAGAAGTTTCAATAGTACTTTAAAAAAATATTATTCCCGGATCCATCTCGAAACATTCGAAACACAACGTATGTAAACAAAAGGAAAACAAAATCAAATCCTACCTCGTTATAGCGCAGGCGTTAGTCGTTCACGGATTTGTCATCCCAAGCGCATCCTTTTCAACCAGTGAAATATTTAAACCTGGTTAAGTTTTACCCAGGGTAAACCACTGTGAACGCGCCCCTGGGCCCGCGCGGCCGGCAGATTTTGATATGTTCGTAAACGAGTAAAGTAGCGCCCACTGAATCGGAACCGCTCAGCTCGGCGCCGCACGCTCAGCCCGGCGACGACTCGTATTCTCGATAGGGCAAAAACTGCCGGTCGGTCCGCGTGTCTGCGACCATAAAAGCATTGAATTGTTTTATTTCTTGCATCATGGCCGATGAAATTTTGATTGAAAGCGTTTGAGCATATGCATTGTTGTATGAACCAAAGGAAAAATATTACCACGATACCTACCACTCGTAAAAAAAATGCTTGGGGAAAAGTGTCTTTTTTATTAACGAACCTACCACTTCGATAGTCAAAGTTGTTTTAAACGCTATTTGGGTCTGATCATGCTGGAGCAATGGGCGGTGGCTGCGGAAATGCCGGCCGCACTGGCCGTGCTGTGCTGTGCGGGCCCAGTGGGCGCGCTCCTTAAGTCGTCAGCTATTCAAATAGCCTACGTCAAAGCGAGAAATAACATACTGCCTACGTCACAACTGGTGATTTAGTGGAAGGGAGGGATTTGTTACACACATGTTTTATGAGGATAGGCCATCCTGTAGTAGTAGTGTGTATCATCCTTGGAGTAGATCTAGATCATTTTTTTGTTGGTGGGGGAAAACTGGTCCAACTACAATCGAACACGGTGTCTGGTTCACTTAAATTGACAGATCGATTTAATCTAATTAATCGAATATCGAATGCAGGTATGGTGTCATGGAGGAAAGCGATGGTAGCACTGATTTTTCCATTGAGGTAGATTTTTCTTTTCACTTTGACAACCTTTCCAGGGTTATTTCAAAGTCAAAAACGGGACGTTTTCGAGATATTTCCTAGCTTCAAATTAAATCGATTACCCTGTATAATTTTAATAAGAAAATGAGAAAGAACGAATGAATTTGTTCAGTCTGATTAAAAATCTTATATCGTCGTGACGTCACCACAGATGCTCATGTGTTGATAAATTCGTCTGATTTACACTTTACAGTGGCCGTGTTCGTTTACGTCATCTTTTTCGTCGATTTGCTCCGAAATTATGACAGGCGCGTGACTCGATTAGACAGTTTTAATTTACAAATCACGTGTCTGTCAAAATTTCAGAGCAAACGACAAGAAATATGACAAAAATGAACACGGCTAGTGACTCATCAAAAAACACTCTAAGCAGTGGCGACAATAAAATAATAGAGGTCCCGCCGCTATACTTTTGCAAATTTTAAATATGAATATAAAAGTAAACCACGCCCCTGTCGCCATTTTTGCAAATTATCAATATTAATGTATAGGGTGTTCCTAAATATCATGTACAAACGGAAGGGGGTCATTCTTTGGTTTATTTTATAACCAAAACTTCTCATAAACATAGGTCCGCAAACACTTCGTTACCGATCTACAGGGTGTTGAAATTTTAATATTTTTTGTTTTTTTTTTTTCTAGCTCCTGCAATTTTTGAGTGGTTAACCATTGGGTTAACCACAAATTTGGAATATACAGGATGTCCCACGGTGGATGGCGTATTAGACGTTTATGGAAAACTGAAAAGCGGATAATTTTGAAAATTTGGCAACCGGGATAAACGACCATGAACTACACTTTAAAGAAATTCATTGTTTAAAAATATTTTTGATCATGCGGTGTTGCCGCTTCTACTCTAAACCAGTGGTAACATCGCTATTTTAAATGGAACACCCTCTGTATGTGATTGCATATTTAGATTGTATGTAAAATTCTGAGCAGATTTCATATGATATACCCTATACCTAAGTTCAACTGTTTTGTAAATATTGACAGTTGAAAATTGACTTTTTGCAACTTTGACAGGCTGTAAAATCTGAACGGTTAATTTTAGAGGAAACCCGATTTTACATTCCTATCTTAAATTTTTATAAACTATCATTTGACACTTCCTTTGAATTTAATCCATGATTAAAAATTCCAGTTGAATTTAATCTGTTGGTGTCAAACGATAGTTTATGAAAATAAAATAGGAATGTAAACTCGGTTTTCCTCTTAAATTAACCGTTTAGGTTTTACAGCCTGTCAAAGTTGCAAAAAGTCATTTTTCAACTGTCAATATTTTCAAAACAGTTGAACTGAGGTATAGGCACATAGGGTATATCCACAGGTATATCACATGAAATCTGCTCAGAATTTGATGTAGAACCAAATATGCAATCACATACAGGATGTTCTATTTAAAATAGCGATGTTGCCACTGGTTTAGAGTAGAATCGGCAACACTGTATAAACAAAAATATTTTTAAAGTGTAGATTATGGTCGTTTTTCCTGGTTGCCAAATTTTCAAAATGATCCGCTTTTTAGTTTTTCATTACCGTCTTATATGTCATCCACCGTGGGACACCCTGTATAGAGGTTATGCAATAGGAGCTAAATGATTGCACATGTCGAACGTTTGCCAGAATTTACAGGGTGATTTTTTTTTTTAGGGTTCATACCCCTGAACTGTTTTGGTAGATTCCAAAAAACAAAATAATTTTTCTACCTTATTCAGAAACTTTTTGTGTGGCGACAATTAAAGTCCGCCCGTCGCCATATTCTTGCTCATTTTGAATAGAAATCTAGAAGTAAGCCACGTCCTTGCCGCCATATTATTCTAGATCGGTAGCGAACCTAAGTAGGTATATGTTTATTGGAGATTTGAGTCATAAAATAAATCAAAGAATCATCTCTCATAGAACACCCTGTATACTGAGCTTTAAATATGGAACATCTCAATTGAGAACTCACCCTGTTTATAGGATTTCAGAGAACCAATCAAAAACGGAATTATCGCCACTATTGAAAAGTTTTTTTGAGTCACTCAGCAGTGCTGCCAATTGTTTTCCATATTAATATGAAGACAGTATTTACTTGAAGGCCATTAAAATTTTTCTGTCTACTCAAAAAATTCCCATTTATTGTACTTATGTATTAGATGCTTGAGAGTAATTTTTTAAAACCGCATAATGACAGTTTATGAAATTTTTGTCTCGTAAAAGAGAGATAAAAGTATATGACTGTCATGAGAAAGAAGAAGAGAGATAAGAAAAGAGACTATTGTCTAGCCAGCCCCCGGAATCTATTTTACGAGTCGAGCCGGATTGTCTCGATTCACCCTTTTTTGACATTGCTTCAACAAATTGACGTTTAATGCGTGAATCAAACGTGAAATTGTCGGAGTTTTGTGTTGTCGAAGCAATGTCAATAAAGAGCGAATTTCGCAGTTATGAGTACTAGGCTTAACTGTGTAATAAGAATCCGGCAGCTGATTTGGCCAATGAAAAAACTTTCTCAAATTCTTAAAAGGAATTTTCGAGGAAACTTCGCCCTGTTCCTGAAATATTTTATATTTGTTTAATAATTTTTCATATCAGCGAGTTGGCAACACTGGTTTAAGTTCCGGTGCTTCCCTCAAAAGTTTATTATACATGTTATGTTCAGTGGCTTATCTTACGACCTTTTTTACCCTGTGAAAATAAAAAAAAAACACAAATAAGTCAAAAACATTTTCACTTTTCAATACAAAAGTCTACTAAATAAGGCAATATAATGTTACTGGCTATAAAATTAAACCTATACAAATTATTGCAGTTTTAGTATAAAATTCCTTAAAGTCTAACGAACACACACATATAACACGCATCTTATAATATAAGAAAAAATTAACAAATTAAAATCGCATTATAGGAATCAATTAGAGGATTATTGCTGAGACATTATTGTCCAAAAAAAAAGAAACCACAATTATTATTATTAACACTGGCAGGTGAAGCAAAAAAAATAATTAAACTTAGTTTGAGATTCCTAAAAATTATGGATCAACAAAAGAAATCATAATATACCGAGTACCATTGGTCACTCTCAAGCCTTCATGGTAATGCGTCAGCCTACCAGGATGCATCAACATCCAACCCATTTGCGTATCAGTCACGCTACAATTATACCTGATAAACCTGCAACCGCCTCCTTGATAGTCCTTGCCAGCTTCATTCAAGGCAATATTGATTGTATAAGTTGAGCTATCGTGATGAGGCCTTAATGAAGGTTGCTCATCAGGCCTGTATCTCACTACAAAGTTCATTAAACTATTTGGTGGGTCATGGAAGTATCCAGTGAAAATATATTCTTGTAAAGGTCTGACATATTTTTGCAAAAAGTGCAACCAGTGTCGTTCCCAGCCTACTTGGTTCATGTGAATGTCTCTAGTAGGGACTGCTTCATAGCCTCCTTGAAGCCTTTCGTCTTCGTTTCTACCGGAAGACCACTTACCAAAACTTTCCATCATGCTTATTAAAGATTTACAGAATTTTTTGGTTACAATAGGCAACCAATACACATCAGGACATGGTTGCAAAGGTTTTTTGTCTGGATTAAAAGTTTCTGGATAATCGGGTCTAATGTAGGCCTCCTCCCAGTCTTGTTCGTTCTCAAAAATCTGATACATATCTGGTTCGGTTCTTGTAACATCATAGGTATCAGCGTTGATCAAATGGCCAAAATCTACTCGGTTGGATACGTACATGAAGACATTTAGTTCGCGTAGGTTGCGACAAAATGCCATGTCTGAGTCGATGTTCGGTAGATTGTGAGTCAATTGAGCTTTGGAGTATTGTTTCAGGAGGGTCGAGTTGATCAGGTAGGCGTTGTTGATGAATGGAACATTCCAGAGGCCCCTGGAAAGTTTCAGAAAAATTAATTAAGTATCTTAGTAGGCTTGTAAAGTTTGACATTTTTTCGATAAAGTATTTCTTAGTCTAATGGTGAGTGTGTTTTATTAATTATTAATTCTTAAAAAGTAATAGTTTTGCTATCTACAAATTACTTCTGAATATTAACATCTTTTCCAAATTGCTTTTAAAATATGAAAATGTATCTTTCCCTGATCGTTTTGTAATTTATTCCAATGGCTTAAAAAATAGTGATATGAAGCTTGTAGAAAAAATATTGTTTTCAACACGTTTCCTGCACTTACGGCCGTACTAGAAAGTACTACTTTACGCACTTGTTAGGAAAATAACTATTTTGTATCAATCATTCAAAGCATTAAAATACTCTCCATCATCCACATGGCACCAAATTACAGTGCGGAACAAACAAACACCTCAATTTTCGATGATAGTTCCGAGACCCAAATTGCCCCGATATCGTTCGACTTCCTGTGCGAAATTTTATTAATTTATTTTTGTATATGTGTTTATATCAACGAGTAAATTATTTTATTATTGGAGCGTATGTAGAGTTGCTCCGGCAGTGTGTGTGAAGTGAAAAACAATGCGCGGTAGAAAATTTACGGTTTTCCTATTGTTTGTTTGCGGGGTGACGATTTTGCAGTTTTCCACTTGCATCTCGTTGCCGGCGAAAATCGGCGGAGGCGGCAAAGCCGGAGGTAATCTACGACCTAATTTTAGTGGATAAATGCATGTCTATGACTATTAGGGTCACTTTGAATCATCTACTTGTTTGTGTGTCGTACTTATATTTTTTTTTCTTTCATATTGTTTCAAGTTTTTTAGTGTTTTTATACTTTTTATATTCTTTGTTTCATTTATTTTAAAAGTTGAAAAAACTGAATTTAGAAATTCACAAACAAAAAAACTAAAATATTACAGGAATTTGAAATATCAACGATTCTAAGAATTTGTAGGATTTTGTAAAATCATTAATAACCTTATTGAATATTAAAGATAGATAGAAAATTCAGAAATCCAAGAACAAGAAAACTAAATTTGGAAAATTAAAGATTCTGAGAATTTGTAGGATTTTTTAAAACCATTAAAAACCTTAAATATGAATGTATTAAAGATAGAATAATTTAGAAAATTAAAAAAATTCATAAAGAAAAAAAAAATTCCAAGAGACAAAAAAAAAAAAAAAATAGAAATTTGAAAATTGGAAAACAAGCTCAGTAAACATAGCTACATAAAGTTAAGATAGAAATTTACTATTGAAATTTACGTAACTACTTTATTTATATAAAAATTTCTAAGTTTTTTTCGAGTTACAATAAGGTAAAGTATTACCATTATCAATTGAAAATCGCATCTCTATGGTGACTACTCAAAATTAGAAAAATACCCCTTATAATAATATAAAATAATTTTTATATTCTTATGCCTAGTCCTGGTAAACTATAACAAAGACACCGCACACTGGCAAAAAAACTTGAAAATTGTCGGCGATGCCGCTGGGCTTTATCGCTTGCCGACAAAGCTGAGCCGTTCTGGTTGGCAGTGTGAGATATTCTCTTTAGAAGTGGACAAAAGTATAAAATTACACAGATAATCGAATAAAAATCAATTTCAAATTTGAATTTTTAATAAAGGAATAATATTCCCATTCAAATATTTATATTTGATTAATTTCATTAGTTTAAAACGGAATTTTAAGGATTACCTACTATATGAGTTTTGCCCATTTATTTAACGTATTAATTCCATTGTATTCTAGAGGTAAATCAGCTAGAATTTCGGGGCAATGGCGTTCGTCATTTCAGTTTTTATAGAAATATCTGGAGCATGTTTATTCTTTATTAACCAATTTGTTTTCATTTATCATGATAATAATATTTAGACGCCTATGAATTCCCACGTGACTTCAAAGAGATCAACTGAGCCGCCTTTTTTATGAAGTTTCAATTAATAATGGTTAAACTATAATAGTATATTATTGTCTGTCGATTTTAATCTGATACTCGGACGAAATATGAGCTGGTGGTCACCTACATTAGAACGCTAATGGTTACCTGGAGTTGCACCTGTTTTTACCATATTATTATGAAACACACCTTCGCTCCTCATACGTACAGGGTTATTGGTTATAAATGTCACCCCCTCTATCTTTTTTATTTGACATTTTAGAAAAAAGTGTCCCAAATAAAAGTTTTATGGTTAAAATTAAATTTTTTGAAAAACTCACTTTCGCATATACAGGATGTTTTAGAAAAGCTGGTCGCGCTCCAACTTTCCTATTTTAAATGGAATACCCTGTATATTATTGAATATTCGGATTCTATAAAATTTTGAGCAGATTTCATGTGATATACCCTATACCTAAGTTCAACTGTTTTGGAAATATTGATGGTTGAAAATTGACTTTTTGCAACTTTGACAGGCTGTAAAACCTAAATTTAGAGCAAAACCGATCTTATGTTTTTATCTTGGATTTTTATAAACTGATGAAACTGATATTTGACATACCAACTTTGAATTTAATCCATGATTAAAAATTCAAATTAAATTTAATCTCCGGTTAAATTCAAAGTTGGTGTCAAATCAAATCTAAGAAAAAAATGTAAGTTCGGTTTTGCTCTAAGATTAACCGTTTAGGCAGTGTTGCCAGCATCAGTACAATTTGACTCTCTTCAGTACGTCAGTACCACACTATAAAATCCAGTACATTTTGCCGCCGCTGTACAATGCCGGAGGCATCAAAACATTCTGCCGCCCAATCTAGCCATATCCCGGAGCTCTGACCAATCAAATTCGATGTGGCTATTTTGAGCGGCATAATGTTACTACATGGGCTAGATCAGGGGTCAGAATGTCGGGACGGCCTGTCAGACTTGTCCGTTAGAAGTGCCGCATGTTTTGTATATTTGTCGCTCATTGCTCTATTGAAATGTACGCGAAGACATTTTAATATTTATTCACGATGGAGATGGATGCGATAAAACTACCCACAACGTTTGTTTATTCGAATGTGAGTGAAAACACTTATCGTGCAAAAGGAAAAATAGTATGTACCATCGTCACCAAAAGTATCTGGGACACAAATAATGCATAATAATCTCCTGGACTAATTCTACTGTCATTCATTTCAATGCATTTAATTCATAGTTTGACAAATATTTGACAATAAAATTTATATAATAGGACAAGAGCTAATGTGATGCTGTCCCAGTTATTTTTGATGACGATGGTACGTACATTAATGGCCGTTCGCACCGACTAATTTATGGAAAGTTTAACGCTCGGTTTAACGATAAGACGGTATTCCTTAAAGTGACATTTTCCCATGCAAAAATGTCATTTTAACGTAGACTTATCGCTAAGGCTTCCTTAAAACAGTCGTAGGTACTATTTTTCCTTATTTTATTTCATGTACCTACGTGTTTTTTTAATTAAGGTAAAACACCAAAAAGGCGATTTCGCCCCAGATTTTCATCTGCTGTTTGGTAGGCGAATGGTTAACCAATTGGTACGTAAGTGACGTAGCTCAACAATCTCATCCGAATTCAGTGGATAGGGCGTTTGGTACATTTTGACTATATTGTTTAACGAGCGACGAAAACAGCATTTTTAGAAACTAGAAAATAGTTTACCAAACGAGGTGAAGCCGAGTTTCATAATGTTTTCAAGTTGCAAAAAATTATTTTTGACATACGCTCCCAAAAACAGCTATTTTACGGACTCATTCAAGTCCGTAAAATGCTTCTGTTTAGGATTTTCTTTTCTTTCTGGTTGCACCTTTATGATTTCAAAAATTAAGGAAATTTTGCAAATTTTAGCGTTCTAAAGAATTCTAAAATGCGTATGACAAAAAATAGTGTTTGTCACACGTCCTAACGAAGTTTTTCAGGACTCATCTGCTATTCCGCAGCAATGATTCGTCCTGAAAAACTCCATTTTAGGTAGTTGTAACAAAAATAACTATTTCGACGAGTAGAACACTATACTTTCACATGTTTTGATTTTTGCTGTTCAACTTATTTATTTTTAGGCGACTGTCACAAAAAGATTAGTTTTACGGATTCAATATCATCCCTAAGTATATCTTTTTTGGCCGCATTTACTTTACGGCCGCATTCACTTCACGGTCGCATTTGCTTTATTACTTTACGGCCGCTTTTACTTCACGGCCGCTTTTACTTCACGGCCGCTTTTACTTTACGGCCGCTACTTTGATGAAAATAAACAATCGGAAACGCAGTGCCGTAGCCATCAACACAACGAATAAACAATTAGTTAGCAACCACAATGAAACCAAGTTTTTAATTTTAGCTCTATCCAAATTTCCACATATAATGCTAAAAAAAGCGGCATGATTGAAAATTTGGGAGAAGTATTTTCTTGCATTTTTTTCGGAAAATGCCAAAATTAAATATTCCTCAACGTTATGGTCTTCAGGTCCACCTATGTTATACTCTATGTTAAAATTTACAATTATAGTCGGAAATACCTAACATATCAGCAAGTTTTCAAAATTGATTGCTTTTTTAAAAAAGCTCAATGCAAGATACCAGGCGAAAAAGTCGGTTATTTTGATCAATAAAGTTTAAAGCTACTGTTGAATTTTCTTCTTTTTTCAAGAACAAACACTCGCCTAAAAAATTTTGTGTGCACCTCGGCCGAATGATCTTTTATTTTCTACTTTACTATTATAGATCCATAATACCTAGGAAACGAAATACGTTAACACACCTATAACAACCTGATCCATAACGCCCGCTTTTGCGGGCGTTATGATCTATAACGCCCGCTTATAATACCTTAAGGTGTTTTTGTTGTTGTTGTTCTATTAATTTGCACTTTACCCTAGGCAGCCACTAAATGTCTGACCGAAAATAATTTTCGGTCTAGCCAGGATTCGAACCCGGTCTACCATCAATGTTTCCCATGTAGTCCAGCGCGTTAACCCACAGGACCACCACCGTTGCCTTGCCTTATGAGATGTTTATAGATATATTAATTTATTTCGTTTCTATGTACAGGTCGCAGGTACAGGTACAGGTCACAGGTACAGGTACATGTCAAAATACAAAACAATATTCTGTCACACAAGTTTAACTGATTTTGTTAAGTACAAATTGATGAAAAAACATTGTGTTGAGTAGAAAATAAAGCATTGTATGCACCACGGGGATTTCAAGATTATAATGCCCTTCAGGCGAAATATATCCCTCGGGCCATAGGCCCTCGGGCTAGTTTCGCCTTCGGGCATTATAATCTACATAATCCCCTTGGTACATAAATAGCTATTTTGGCCTCACCTGAAATTTGCTTGGCCTCGGCTGCAACTTTACGGCCTTGGTACACAAATAACTATTTTCTCACAAGGGTTCCTACTTGGTTTGATTTTGATAGATGGCGCTTAAAAACGTGAATGAATCAAGGCGCCATCTATCAAAAGTTCTCGGTTTTAAGTAATTTTGTGATGAACTACGTATGTGTTTTTTCATTGTGGTTCAGAGAATTAAATTATAATTGGATTGAAAGAATGTATTTAACATGTAAAATTCTAATCATTCATTTTGGTCACTAGTGACGAAAATTAACGTTATGGGATATTCTATCACTAGTGACGAAAATGACGTTTTCGGTTGGTAAAATATATTGAAGATTTAAAATGAACCTTTTTCGGCGTGGCCGTGGATACCGAAAAAAAATT